AAAAGCCAAAATTTTTGGGTCATCATTTATCTCATATTATAAATTTAAAGACTTTAACCAAACCAATGGCCAAGTTAATCCATTTTGTGGATGAAAATCACCAAAGAAGCTCTAAATTCCACAGTATGACATAATAAACCCAGGATTAAGGCTCATAGGGACTCCAACAACAGTGTTTGAGAGTATAATAAAGTAAGCATATGCATCTATAATACTACAGGAAAGATTACACAGTATAAGCAAATAATAAAAGACTTTCTCACCCCTCACAAATCTTCTTCACCCTGCTTTTGAGCTGATCTCCTTGAAAGAATATAATAAAGACACATTTGTTGACTTGGTCTCCAGTGCTTGGATCTTCCAGAGGAGTCTCTATTTCTGCCTGTTTGAAGAAAACGTTTCCACGACAGGCACGCCACAGAAGACGCTCAAAGGAAGGTACTCGCTCTCTTGCTATAACACCAGTCACAAAACTAGACAAGTGATAGATCAAATGTGCAACAATGTAGGTCAAGAGCAAAAATGATAGAGAAACAGTTAAAGGTAACTGCTGAGACAAAATTATACAACTTCAATTCCCTTTCGTCTAACTGGGCCATGTTTTGGTAGCAACATACACTCTTATAAATAGTCAACAATATATTACATGTGTATGCATATATATAAATATATGATCAAGCTATTAGTTACTGACAAATTATCTGAAAAATATCTGACAAAATCACACGGGATAGAGCTATTGAATGCAATCAAAACAATCAAAACACAAGACTCCAATTTCTCCTGCTCTTGGAGTCAGCCATAGAAACAACTTACTAACATACCCCAACTGGGTTGCTGTTGCTGTGGCACTACCTCCTCTTGGCTCCTCGCCCAGGAGAGCTTGCATGTCATCAGTACCCTGCGGTTCATGGATCTGTTGTTGATTATGCACATGGAGTTCGGCCTAATCAAAACCATCAATACTATGTTCTAATGCTATATACCCTTAAAGTGCACTGTAAAGCCACACAAATCTAATCATCAACACTTTGATGTCCATGAAAAAAGGTCTTATGTGTGTTTTACCTTTAAGTCACTCATTGTTACAAAAGCAAATAACATCATACTGATGCCGATCATAATAATCATGAGATTGCTATAGTTTTCCCTTGCATTTTCAGTTTAGTTTTCAAAGCGGTTATGCCAGGTCTTCTAGAGGAGTCTTTTCAAAAATTTTCCTTTTTGCTGAGGGGAGGGAGGATGGTGGGACTTTGGTGATTTTTGTAAAATTAACGGTAAAAATTTGGTGTCTATTTTAGGAAAAATACTACAGAATTAAGATTGGTTTAGTTTCCATTGCCAAGTGAAAATACAGTTAAAAAAAAAGTTGCAATCTGTGGTTAGTGCAGTTATTATTTCAGACAATGACTTTTTGGTTTTCAAGTTAGAGGAGTATTTGTATGACAACAGAAGTGGTTATCAATGAATACAAGAGAGAAATAACATTACTATTAGCCTTATGTAAATACCCAATAAAGATGAAAAACAAGAAGTACAGTACTAACGGAATGAAGCACCTTTTACCCTCTCTAGCATACAAAGAAACAAAAAAGAGTTTACAGGTATACGTATTTATGCATGTGAATGCTCTGCAACCTGTGTAAGCATCAACTTGGAATTAGTCTTGGTTACTTTTTTGGAAAAAGAAAAAAAAAACTATTCACAGTGAAGACATGAAGGATATACATAATTTCTAAAATTTTGCTTTCACTGAACTTAACTCTATCTACTAAATGCTTAGCTTGGGAGGAAAAAAAGTTGTGCCTAAATACAAAGAATATTTTGTATAAGTTCTCAGGATCAATCACAGTAATAGATTTAAAGTAAATTACTTTTACATGGAGAAACTGTTCAACTGGTGGAAAGTTATTAAATGGTGGAGAGTATAAGCCACTTTATATTCTAAGTATCAAGAAACTGCCATGCATATAAAAAGTGTTCCCGCAATTAACTGTAATATACACATTTTGGATTAGAGATTTAAGTTATAATTGTAAGGTTTTATTGGCTGTTTCCTCCAATAATTAGATTTATAAGATTCCAAGGTTCTAACTCGTCAAAAAGAAACTATCTGTTCTCATGGAAAACAACTTCTTTCGAAGGCTTAAACTCAATTCTGGTATATGAAAGCTATGCATGTGTCAATAAACACGCCCTTTGATAAGAAAAGCTGTATTCGATTTCAAGGTAGGTTCTAATTAAATAATGACAGACGTTCATAGTGTTGAGTTCTTAAGGTTTGCAAGGTTCAATTCTAAAGGTTTGCAAGGTTCAATTCTTAAGGTTTGCAAAGTTCAGTTCTGAGATTCGTGTTCCATTTTTTCACAACAGTTGACTATATTCATGAACACATATGATACACACACAATGATTACATATACATATACAAACTTAATACATGTAGAAATTCACACCTCTTCAAAAAAGGTCTGCGTCTTGCGAAGGATGTGCTTGAGTTCTGTCAACTCCAGAAAGCTCTTCATGAGTGCTTCATAATTCGCATTGCTATCTTTCATTTCATTTTCCAGCTGCTCAAACTGGGCCTAAAGAAATTAAATTCCATCAGAAAAGAGTTCCTTCAAAAAATGGATGAGCTATGATTAAAACTCTTCAGTAAATTTATGTTTTTAGATGAATATAATTTTTAAGTCTCATACTTTATATTTCCTAGAAAAAGTGCCCATCCTCACTACTAACCTCAAGATCAATCATTTCTCGAGGTTGGGGAGCTTCTGGATTTTCTCCTGTGTCCGAAACTTGGATATCAGCTTTCTCAATTTCCTTCTTCAGAAATCCTGTCGAAACAAAGCAAGACTGTTCATTTGCACCCCTAAAAAGTACTGTGGAAGGTTAGTTTCTGTTGTAAAGTCTCAGGCTTTTCACTCCCTTGAGAGACTGAAACAGAATTCCTTCTTACAACCAATATTAATACAATATCAAACAGACAAGTGATGAGAATAAAGAAAAGTATCAACTAAGGGATTATTAGTTGATCCAAAACCAAATTCTCTGAATTAACATAGTGATAATTGTATGGCAGACGGTAAGGAGAATTACAAATGAGATGCCAGGAGTGGAAAGGCTGAGGAACTGCTTCCAAATGTCAGAGATACATTTAACCATTTAACTCCCGAGATCTCATCAGTAACTCTCTCTACTGTCTGCCATACAATTCTTATGATGTTACTTTGGAGAATTTAGTATTGGATCAACAAATAATCCCCTAAATTGTCTTTTTCTATATTCTCATCAATTATGTATTTGATATTGTTAGGATATTGTGAGGAGAAATTCTGTCTTGGTCACTCAGGGAAGTTAAAGGGCTAAGAAGTAATTAATACTATCTCGATCTGCAGGACAGTGTTGTACTGTCAAAATACGCGAAAAACTAAAATTCTTCTTGTCTCTACTTTGAATAACAGTTTCACTTACGAAGTTTCCTTTCCATCTCCTCGCAGCGTCTGACTTCATTGACGAATTTACGTTGAAAGGCATTCACATCTGGATTTAACTGATAGATGAGAACATTTAAACACACAATTAAACAAATGCAAGATTTATTTTATTATTTTAACTACCAGCTTTCGTAGGTCATGGAAAGAGATTCTTTAAACCCTTCTAAAACACACTGCGCAAAAAGTGTTTTCGAGAAGGAAACATGAAGATTCGAAGATCTGTCCGCAATGATCAAAATATCAATAAAAATTCCATAGTTTGGCCATGCATTCGTTGAATACTTTATCATTAAACTTGAGTTTCACCACTACAAGCAGCACACGAACAGAAATATGTCTACTGGTTGATAATTTAAGATCAAAGTGTAATGATGGTACTCACATCTCGGAACTGCACAAGGCCCTAAGATAGAAAGGATAGAAATAAAACAAGACCATGAGAGTGAGGTAACAAAATAAGCCATGTTTGAGACAAACCACCGATAAACATTGCTCTTAAAGGTTCTGGTGAGCAAGCAAAGGTAACAAATTCAAGATGGCGCCGAGTTTAGTGCTTCGACTTACCAGCTCTCCAAGTTCGCTGACACAAGAATAAGCCGCTTCAGCCTGTAGAAAAAGTTGGGCCAGTGTCATTTCCTCCGATCTGAAGAGGGAAGACATCTTGGCAGTGCAGAATACGTATATTTTGGGTTCAGCTAGACAAAATGAACCTGAAAAGTACACAAGTTACAACGGTGATCTCACCGCCTTCCGATACTGATCACGTGAGTAGCTTTTCTTGTCCCATGATTCATACTAATCCTCGGCAGCTTGCTGTGACTTCCGAAACTTTCCGAAAATGTCCGAAATGAAAACGATGAAGAATTCTTCTAAAAAATTTAAATACTTGCTTCGTAAAATTCTATGCTGAAAAAATTCCAGGGCTATAACAGGTTGAAGTAACGGAAACCCACAATGAGATGAGATGCCATACCGACTGGACAAGAAGCAGCAAACCGGGATTCAGGTGCCTCATAGGTTTCACGCCAGCGCCAGTGAGTCAAGGAGCCCTCCCTCCGACGGAGTGAGTCATCTTAAAATCTTTGCTGAGGTTCCTATCTCCGAAAAGGGCATAGTATTTTTCATACTCGTTTCCAGACCAAGGATGATCCACTTCCGTTTTGAGACCTGCTGCCATCTGAAAGTGGTTTCTAATTTCGAAATGTGGTCAGAATTGCATCAGTGCCGGTGCCGAAAATTGGTAGAACTCACTCGGAAATTAATCTGGAATGATGTATGATGATTCCCTCTCTTTCTCTGACTTTCATTCGCAGTTAAAAAAGACACATTAATGTTACATCCTCTCTAGGTTGCCATGAAAACCAATCCCCGTCTTAACTCTTAAACTCCCACGAGTGACTAAGACAGAATATCTCAATATCAATACGATATCAAGCATACAAAGGGTGAGAATAAAGATAAATATCAATTGGGAGATTATAAGTCGATTTAATACCAAATTCTCCAAACTAACACCACGAGAATTGAGAGGCAGACAGTAAGGGGAATTACTTATGAGATATAGGAGAGAAAGGGTTAAGACGATAAAATTCGAAGTCGATTCCTGTTTTTAGAGAAAATGCCTACAAAAAAAACGGCACGTATTCCTGTAGGGATTCCACTATTTCAGTGTTACAAATTGGATGATGAAATAACCTATATTAAAGCGCCTGCAAAACAGGCAACGCTGTTTTTTTTGGCGCTATGACATGATCATATATACCCTTGCATAAGTTAGGTTGCAATCATCTTCAAGCGGGAGCAGCAAAGGGCCGTCGAAACGGACTAACCGATCCAAAGAAATTAGTTCTTAGACATTCAAGGACATCGGCGAAAATTGAAATAACCAGAGTGAGATTCGTGAGTAAACCAACACACCAAAGCATCATTTTCAAATAAGTTACGCTGGTATTCAGGTATTAACTTTGATAGAGTTACTCTATCAGGATGAAAAAATAAAAAATTAAAAAAGTAAAAAATTCACATATTTTTGAGACTCGTTAATTATTTTAAGTCTTAATGTAACAGTCAAACTTAAATTCATATCTAATGACGATTAATAAATACTTTCTGGAGTAATATCCACTTTAAATAAGGCATGAGTTTATCTCATCGCTCTTAAAGCAAAAAAATCATTTTACGTTAAATATTTTTGAGCTTATTTAATGTCTAAGAATCTATTTAAGAAAAATTCCGAGTATATTCGTTTCAATATAATCTTCAGTGTTTAACAACCTTTATTGTTTTTATAAAGAACTATCCTATGAACTTCATGATAAACTCCGCCCTGTTCCAAATCTTCATGCATCCAATTTTTGAAAGCCGACGAAAGACTAAGGAAATTAGGAGGATGGTATAAAGTACCTAGAAAAGACAAAATGAAAAGTAGAAAAAACTTCCATTCGTTCACTGCGCCCTCTTCGAATGCTTCTTTTGAGATACCGGGCGGGAACAAATCCGACTTTGAAATTCTTTTCCGGAAGCCGAACATTAGAACTATTCCTCAAGCTGACCACTCAAAATCGACTTGAAGGAGAATGGTTGAAATTTGTAGCCTGTTCCTTGATAAAACTTGTTCTGGAACTCGACCCTGTGAAGGAAAAAAGACGTATATAATTATGGTATTCTCATGTTAAGAAGACTGGGTTTGAGTCAAAAATCTACGCCTTAATTAAGACAAGTTACGAGCTCCAAACGATCTGCTTGGTTAGGAGTTTCCGCCTCTTTGTGGTGTTTGGTTTACCAATTGATGGTGGTAATTACTTTAAGTAAGAAATGAACATTAACTTCTCTGTTGAGGGAAACAAGCAGGGAATGAATAGAAGATAGAGTGGGAAAGCAGAAAATGCGTAAGAGAGTGCGATAAGAACTTACCAATGTAGACGAAGCGAATGCAAAAAGGCCGACAGACCCTCCATGATCAACAGGATGACTACGGTTTCAACTAAGTATAAAAAAAGTGATATGTAATAAATTAGCCTAAATACAAAAATCCCATGATCTCTAAATGAAAACCGCCCCTTCTTATTTTAAGACATCCTACGCGCATGTCCTCTTACGCGCGCGTAACGATCGACGTAATGAAAGATTATTAGGTTAGTCTGGTAAAATGTTATTTCACACTTACCTGCCCAAAGTGAAAATATAACAAAGGCAGCGACAGAACCCAGCCAACCGGTAAATGTGAAAGCTGGACGAAGAGACATGTTCCAAAATACTTCCGACAGCTCTAAAATGTAAGAAATGTTTAGTTTTCACAGTTGTATCAGAAGTTTTTTTAACTATGGAGCTGCGCTGCGTGCACTACGAGCTCCGCTAAAATACCCCGTCTCCAGACCAAGGGGGCCAATCAGAGCCTGGCTTCCCAAGAGGGTAAAGGGGTACTCTTGATGAAATCAAGAAGACAGGGGAGGTATAAGCGAATTCTTACTTGCTGTTCTCACAGAAAAACAATATACGGGCGTACTATTTAAAAGACAGTTCCACGAGTTTTGAAGGAAAGGAAACTTATAACTGACATTTCAACGGATAGGGGGCTGGGCCGAGATCGCCAAAAAGTAAAAGGTATCACGGACATGCCACACGCTGTCTTGCCCCGGGTTTTTCGACGTTGAAATCTCTCCTTGCCTTATGCTCTTCCTCCAGATCGTTACAAAAAACCGACTTCAGGCCGTAGGGAGGTTTCTGCAACTAGTATAAAGAATCCTTACAGGATGAATTAATGATCAACACTGTACCGTACCTTTGATGAAAAGAAAACCTGATTTCTTGTTCTTACCTGCATGAGCTAAACTTAGGGCCCACAGTCGCAAGTAAGAGGCCGTGTTTGAGATACAACTGAGGCAGTATTCGATAGTGTGGATGGCCTGATGTACAAACACTTCCCAAAAATCAAACTAAAAACAGAAAAAAGAAAGGAAAACTGATCTGAATTTTTTTCCGAAAGGAGTCCTGAATCCAACAGCACCCATACCTCCTCACAATGGTCATCAGGTGATTGATCTTCCTGAAACGAGCCGTCATGATAAACCACTGCACCAGAGTCTAATCCAGAATCATCCATTTCCCCGGACAAGAGAGTAGTACTGGGGCTACCTGGCCCTAACCTCTGATAACCCTTAAAAAAGGAGATGTTTGACACAGAAGCAGATAAATATACATATATATACATATATATCAATTGGAAAGTATACATGAAATATATATATGTTTTGTTTTCTCATAAAAAGATACACCAGACGTTTCAAGGCTCTCCAGCAGAATAAAAGTGTTATATTTTACATCTAGTTCACTAGCCAGAGCAACTGGTACGGAAGAAAAGTCTAGGTATCAAAGCTTGGTCAATGTGTAGAAAGTCACAATTGCTGAGTTTTACAAAAGAATAAGGTGGGGTATGGGACACATTTTTTGCCCAGAGGACAGGAATCTTGAAATTGATTGACACATGTAATAAAGCTTCCAAACATCAGGAAACACATTAGCCAATGAAATTCCCCTTGAAATGTCCAGGATCAAATCCAAAGTGATTTCTGCGCAATTACACAATAACATACAACCCTTGCTTTTTACATCACATGAGGTAAACAATAAAGATAGCCAGGAATTACTTGACCTACATGTTCTTTGTTAACTCTGTGCCGATGTCGGAGATATAAGGGCTTTGTTAAGAGCATCCAGGGAACACAGAGCATTGCTATAACAACCAGTAATGGTTGAACAACAGCCTGTCATAAGAGCAGAGAAACACCATTTAAAATGTCAATCCTTCCACTCCAATGTCTTATTTAAAAATTCTCCTTATTATCTGCTATACAATTCTTATGTAGTTAAGTCTGAGAATTTGAGTATTAGATCCACCATTGATCCCCTAATTTATCTGTTTCTTTATTCTCAATGTTTGTCTCGTGCTTTATATTGTAGACATTGTATTGATATTGTAAGGAGAAATTCTATCTAAGTCACTTACTGGAGTTTAAATGGGGCTAAACACTAAGTAAAGTGCTCTGGCCAACAAAACGCTCTCAAGTATTTCATACACAACAAAAAAGATGCATTATACACTGAAAATACATTATACACTGAAAAAACCATTTTTGAGCACCTGTCCATCGTACAGAAGATTTTCATCTTTTATCTTTGAACCAAATTCCAGAAACATGTTGATGAGTGCCAACAGTAAGCTTGGTTGCTGCAAAATCAAGCAAACATTGCATGAACAAAGAGGTACACAACTTAAATCAATAAACTTAAATATTTGCTTGTAGCATGGCAAACGAGACCTAAAAAACCCCAAACATGATTACTTGCAGTGTTGTTAAATAGGGGATATGTAGATGTATAGGGCTGTAAAATGCATCCAAATAAGGTGGCAACAAAGCTTTACAAGTTAAAGTGATCTTCCAGTAGCTAAAATAAACTTTTAAACTTGGTGATTGTGGTTTGATGAGCAACAAACAATTTATATTGAAATAGAAATTTACTCCTCTAGATTGCCACTGAATATAAACAAATTCCAATAAAATGGAAACGGGAAATGAGCAAAGGACATTCCTGACCACAAGTTGACTCTTCTTGTCCACTGTTTCTATGTTGAATTGGAATTTGGAATGTTGGGGTTTTTGTGGAAGGAGGAAAACCAGAGGAACCTGCAGAAAAACCCTTAAAGCAAGGATGATAACCAACAAGAAGCTCAGCCCACGTGTGACACCAAGGACGACACCAATAACTCACATTCTTACTGTTGATATCTATAGCAATCCATTTGTAGACAATCAGAATGACCAGGTAACCAAAGATGCATGACAAAAACAGGATCTGGAAGAAGAAAAAAAAAACAAGAAAATGTTCGCTATTGACAATCCTTTGCTTCTGACAATCCTTTTGGCTGGTGCAATCTACCAACAATGTCTGGAAGAAACCACTCTCTTAATTCTGACATCAGAATGCTCACATAAATGTAGTACAAACAAAAAATGAAAATAACACAGGAAAGAATTTTTACACACAAACAACTGATGTGGCCATAACAATGTGATCTGAAGTGTTGATCACATGATCACTACTAGCTCCAGGAATGAGATTGTACTTCAACCTTATCCTAACAAGCTTCAACCCACAATAAGGAACTAGACAGTATATATATAAAGCTTACTTTTATTTGCAATTCAAGAGATCAAGAGAATGATTCTCAAAAACAGAAAGAATAAGTTTGCATATTGACAAGAAAAACCTGCAAAGGGTGGTCAGGTTGGAGATTAGCATGATTGACCAAAGAAGAATTTCTTCTTACAATATTCATACAATATCAAGCACGGAAGTGATGAGAATAAAGAAAAGTCTCAATTGGGGAATTATTAGAAGATCCAAAACCAAATCCTCAAAGCTAAAATCACAAGAATTTTATAGCAGACTGTAAGGAGAATAACTAAATAAGATCTTGGGAATGAAAGGGTTAGGGAGTGACATACATTTATGGAAAATCTTGCCAGCAGTGATTCCCATTTAACCATCTTTTAATCATTTCAATCCCAAAATCTAGAGATTAATTCTGCCCACTGTCATCTATACATTTCATGTAATCTTAGCACTGAGAATTTGGTGTTAAATCAGCAAATATCGTATCTGAAATTTGTTAATAAAATTGTTTCTTTCTGCTTATTTTGTTTCTAATTAAATATGACATTGCAAGGAGAAATTCCTATCTGGTCTCACCTGGAAGCAAAGGGGTTAATGGGTAGATTTGTGGTGCAGAGATGAGCAGCTTCTTACCAATGCTGTTGGTAGGCATCAAGTAGCAACAACAACAAAAAATCAGCAAGCAGCACTTAATGCATAGAAGCAAAGCAACTTAAGATCAGCTCTGATCAGTTAACATAAAGCTCTTTAAGTTACCAGTAGGTATTCAATTCATGCAAGGAAAACATACTGCTGCCCAAAATGCCAGCCATCTAACACTTACACTGCAGGAAATATGTTAGCTTCCTCATCTTACACACTCATGCATATATTGCATTTTTTAGCACTGTCTGTTACTATCTAGTCCACACAGGTTACAGAAAGTGAAAACAAAAAACGTTTCGCATTTTGCCTTTTATTTGACCGATATTACACCAGCCTGTATATTCATGAAAAAATTCATATATACTTGAAATAATTTCATTTCTGCCATGAAGTCTATCTGTTTGAGTTTTGAACATGAAGAATATGTGGATAAAATCAACATCCAATAAGTAATTCAATTTCACTTACCTGGGGTACTAACTCAGCAACAATATCTAAAGATTTGTTGAAGTGTCTAGAGAATAAAAAAGTTGCATATTAATAATATCTGAGACAATTTTCAACTAGTCTCTCAAACAAAGGCCAAGTTTCTGAGGCTGTTCTGGACAAACTTGTACCCTACACATGTTTAAGGTATATTCCATGAATAGGTGCTGCAGTCCTTGATGCTGCATTTATTTTATTGCTAGGAAGTCTTAAGGTAAATCCGAGCATTCTGACAGGTTCCTACTTGGTCAAGATTTTGCCACATGGACCATATCCACAGAAACAGTCATAATTAAACCATGTATTTTTGTTTGAAAAAGCTGGAATATTCAATTGAAAATAAATAAGTTTCATGGAGTGCCAAATAATAATCTACTCACTCACCTTCCTTGCTCAAGCTGTACTGGAGAATAATGGCTCTGGATCGTTTTTGACCTTGCTGTGCTTGGTTTGTACTGCTATGACCTCAGGCCAATATTCCCCTGTACAGCCCTTATGCTCAGTTAATAAGAAGTTATTATTCAGGGGCCATGTTATTTCCTTTCATGTGGAACTTATTTCTAGGGCTGTACCATCTCACTCTAAGGTGACACTACATTAGGGTTGAAATTAGATTTCCTAAAAAATAATCTCACAAAGGCTGGGTCACAGGCCAACCAAGGCCATACTAGCTACCCCTCCTGTAAAGATTTTGTGGATAAAATAATATTTCATCACTTTAAGATCTACATTTCATTACCGATGATTAAAGAAATTTAGACAAACTCCAAACATCATGTGGGCCACTCCAATTACAATAGACATCTTCATTTTGAATGAGTTGGTAAATGCAAGTTTGTTCGTAGCCAGCTGCCAGATCTGAAATGAAGCAGAGGTAAAGAAGAATCAGATTCTAAAGTTTTTTTCTTTTTTTGAAGAAGTGTTCATGGTTTTCCCAGATTTATGGTTACTGACAGTCAGCAAATTCTTCAGAACTTATTTTAGCCATTAATTTTGTTGTTAGCTCAAAACATTAGAAATGGCTTTGATAAAACAAACTTTCAGTAATATTGTTTTAAGCATTAAAAAGTGTAAATGAAATGTTTTATTTGTAGTTCATTGAAGGACAGATACAAATTCTCTGTTAATTTTATCAAGAAAGGACAGAAAGTTATTCTGACAGTATTTTCCAGTTGGCAAACTGCTCTATAAGTATTATCTTTAAGACTTATAGAGCAATTACTAATTAAAATAGGTACTTGTGAAAGTTGTTTTTAATCACTACGCACTTACTGGGTCAATACCAAAGAAGTACGGCACCCCTCTTATATATGTTTTCCTGGGGTCTACCCAGATTTCTTCTTTCTCTGCAACTGACTTATTTAGGTTGCCCTCACTAAAAGACAAAATGGCAATTCAAATTTAAAAGCAAGAAAATTAATTGTATTTTTTTTCCTTCATTACCAGTGCAGAGATCCCTAGATATTTCTTTACTGCATGGTGGATATTTTTTTACTAATAAATGGAATGCAATCTCTAGTTAGAACAATTTTCAATCAGGTGTATTGGGTGTTGATAGTAAATTGAGATTGCATTAGCTCTGCCTTACCTTGCTCTGTGATTGGTCCAAATATCTTGTGCCACATTCTCAACCCATTAGATCCAAAACTAAGACCATTTACAACATGGTTGCCAAGGTTTTCCCATGCTTAAGATGGTTTGGTTGTTTTAAGTTTGAATTCTCATTGGGTTTTAGAGGCATTTTCCTTTCTTCTGAAAGGCTGTAGTTGTGATTATTTTTGATTTTGGTCTCCAACAGCCAAATGGAAAGCACTCTACTACTGTGACAATAGATTGCCATGTTTCCTTAAAATTGAGGGCTAGTAACTATTCAGGAAAGTTTGCATACCTCAATAAACTATTGTCAGTGTCTAGTGATAATGTTTACTTCTGATCATTGCTCTTACATTATTCATACCTGATTGAATCCCAATCTACACTAAGATCCCAGGCTGTGCCAAAGATGTTGAAGGACTTGGAAAAGCAGTCATTGTAAATAAGACCAGTGTACATGGCAAACAGTCCCATCAACAAGATGATATAGCGGCCATGAAAAATGGTCTCAAACATCTTCACGACAATGTGGTATAATTGGAAAGAAAATAAGAAGGTTAATTATCATTATCATAATGATATTTAATCACTGCCATATTAGGACACCATAGAGTCCATTCAATGCCCATCATTGAGATTTGAAGCTTGAAGCCCAACAGATTATCTGTCTATCTTAGCTTTGAATGTAACACCTACCTCACCACCACCTTTATAATTTTTCAGCTTCTTTTCCTTCAGAACTAACCACAATGCAAATAGGAACATTATCAAGCCATGGCCACAGTCTCCAAACATGATCGCAAACAGAAATGGGAAGGTAATGATAGTAAACAGGGCTAAGGAAACATGAAGGAATGGAAAAAAAAATCAATTTGAATATATTAGCTATCAAGCCAAGTCGCAGTTTCTGTAATGATTTGATTTGGTGCCCTCCTTCCAATATATAAGTGCCCCCTTTGTTGTGGGTGACCCCCTCAAATTTGTTTATCTTGATAGGCATCCCTATTTTAATAAGTACCCCTATTGAGTAAGCATCCTCAGTACAATAAGCACCCCTATACCAGTAAGCACCTCTATTCCACCTAAAGCCCCTGTTCTGTTTCAGTTATAGCAGTGTTAGAGTACATACTAAACTGAAGTCGACTCAACCATGGTTCATCTTCTTTAACCAGTAACTGCTCACTTAGTCCCTTATGACTAAAACAGTCTGGTCTTGACCATCTCAGTCTTTCAACTATTACTTCCCTTTGAATGTTTAAAGTTCCTTTGAACGAAAGATCCCATCTTAAAACTTTGTGATGATTGCTTGGCTAGTTGTTCTAGCTAAGAAGAGTCCAGGGTCAACAAGTCTGTTTCCAGTTTTTGTTGTTCTTTCCAACTAAACATCAAATGAAAGCTTTGTTTCACATTTTTCTGTTTCTGAAAAAAAGAGATAAGCACCCTGTCTCTAGCAAGCACCCCGTTTCAAATAGGTGCCCTCCCCTGAGCTACCAAAAGTACACAGTTTGGAATGGTCATCTTAATATTCTAATAATACTTATTTATTACTAAAGTAAGTAAGAGTAAAGTTCTTAAAATGCTAATGAGTTACAACTAAGAGAGGATTTCAAACACAATCATGAATGACACCGATCACATGGAATCACCTGGATTAACCTCTTGATAGTTTGCTACTCCATAGGCATCTACAATGGCTTGAAACCCCTGGGTAAACTTGTTAGTCCTGTTGAAAGTTGGAGGCTCTTGATCAGAGGCCATGCGATTCAGAATAGATGGTATAGCAGCACCACTACGCTCTGTGCCTCGTCGCAATGCTTGATGAATCTTGTCCAAGTCACTTACTGGACACCAACATTCAGCAATAAGACATTTCTGAGTAACATCCAAGTTGAACGTGTTCATGGTATGATATATGGCCTTGATCTTTTTAACCTGGGAACCAAAACAAAAAATGACAAGTACTAATAAACTAATGCAAAATTTACATTTAATATTTCATTATTTGAATCTGGTAGTGAGATCTCATGGTCTTTCCTAGGATGTTAATTTGGTACTGACTGTATGGTAAATTACATGGCAATGAACTTAACAGGGGCATCTATACCTATATAAGACTCTTGATTTTTTCTAATGATAATAAATGACCAGTAAAACTATTAAAACATAATATTATATAATTACATGTTTATCCTTTTAACTCCCAGAAGTGATTAACAAGTAACTTCTCCCAATAATATCAAAACATTATCCAGCAAACAGGTCATGAGAATATTCAAACTCATCAGGCAGAAATTGTTACCTTGATCTAACACCAAATTCTTGTAACATATTTATAAGGAAACATGTAGCAGCTAGAGGGGAAAATTAACAACCAGATCTTGGGAGTTAAAGGGTTAACTATTAATGATTTCTAATAAATACCTTAATAAACCACTGACTAATGTTCTTTGCCAAAGTTGTCAACAAGCTGTAACGATGGTCTCTTGTCTCATTTAAGACCTGAATGAAATAAAATTTGACAATAAAATGACAACATGAGATATAACTTATTTACTAACTTGGTAAACTAGACAGAATTACAAGTGTATAATATATAGATCAAATCTGTTCCAGTTTTAGTTCAAAGTTTGTTCTGTTGCATTTACTTAAAATAACCAATGATTCATGTTAATTCCTTTATCACTATACTGGTATATTTATATTGTA